TTAGCAATCACCAGACAAAAAACAAAAGGGAGAGGGGGTGGAAAAGAGAGTGAGAGAAAGATGCTCAGTGTTTGCTGAAGAAAAGTGTATTTACCCTTCTGCTTAAGTGAAAGTATGCCTTTAATAACTTTGTAATAAACATAACTGTTTTTTTAATGATTAAGGTATCTAAAATATACTTTGTGGGAGTTCTTTCATTTGGAAGATTTAATTTTCCATCATACTGTACATAACTCTCTGTGAATTTCAAGGGTGAATTTTCAGTGCAAAATCTCATTATATGTTTCTGTGCTCTAAAACAAAACTGATCCAAATAAAAATTAAGCAACAATTGTATGCTTACACACACACTGCTGTTTCAAATCATATTAGTTCATTGCTCACACTCATCTTGGAATCTCAATAAGTTTAATCTTATACAGTAGGTCATGTGTTTTTAAAGTTTGGCACCATAAGCTGTTTGATTAAGAGAAGTGTGAGGAATTGGAACAATGGAATTGTTCTAGATCTCTAGATCTCTCTCTAGAGCTGGTGATTTCATAGTAGTCTGCAAAACCTACTGGCCTGGGGCTCACCAGGACCAGGATTGGAGATCTATGGCCTAGGGCTTTAGTTCTAAAAATTTTTTGGAAACCACAATGTTTCAGATGACCACACAAAAATGTAAGTGAAATATCTGGTTTGGTGCCCCTCACCAAAACTTTCGGCAAAATATCGGCAAAACGTATTAAGTTCAACAGTAAATGCATCAGTATCAGGGATGCACAGGAGAAGGCCTGTATGTACTGTGTTGTGCAATGTATAGTATGAGACAGGACAGGATAGGCTACAATTATGTGCACTAGGTAAAATACTTTTGCAATGCTGCAGAAAGTTGTGATTTTAATATTACAAACACATACAGGAAATGTATGCTATTTCATTAAACCCGAAGGTACAATATTGTAGCATTTTCACTTTTCCCAGCAGACCTTTGGCCCCGACACTCAGCACTTGGAGTGGCTGACCCCACAGCTAGAATCCCCAAACTGTTCCAGAGGGGAGATAAAAACATAAGAACATAAGAATGTTTCAATACAAGAGGAGGCCATTCAGCCCATTTCAAGTTAATTAATCCAAGGTTAAAAGTTAATTAATCCAATTAATCTTCCCCATACATTTTTTTGAATGATCTGGGGTAACAGCTTCAACAACAAACTCTGAACACTTCATCTCAAACATTTAGCAATACTAATGTTACAAAAACCATGTAAAATTAACACATATTATATTGTAGGGGGGATAGGAAGCATCAAGGGTCTGAAATTGAGGAAAAATGTAATACACTAGGTGCAGCATTTTCTAAAAAGTATTAGACTTACCGTGGTTGAAGAGCATTTTGGATCTAAGTTAAAGACAACAAGTAAAATCCCCTCTAAGAATCAGATGAGGACAGAAAGAGAAACCTAAAAACGCTTGCCGTGTTGAGGGTGATAGTACTGTATAAACTTTGAACAAAATATCAGAGGTGTTAAAAAGTTTGCTTCTGACCCTAACAAGGCTTTCACATCAAATAATGGCTTTTGTTACAACAAAACATGGACTTGAGAACTAGGATTCCCACTCCCTTAGCCTTGAAATGAAACAGATACTGTACTATTGACCCTTGCAAATTCATTATAAAAAGTGCTGGTCAAATAAAGAGTGGTTTTGACACCTGCACAAAACCTACTAATGATAATAGTGTTCTCATTCACATGATTTTCAAGGTAATGAAGTAACATTACTGTAGGTACTGTAGGTAGGTGTTTTTTTTACAAAATTAGAAACACTTTAATTGATGCATTTCAAATAGGCATTAATACCTTGTATTTAATTTCTCATTTAAGTAAATGTTGATACGTTTCTATTGGTCCTCATATAGTGTTTCAAGAAAATCTTTACAAAGCAGAAATCCCCGTTTATAGTAGTAGATGCAGAACAAAAGCTTCTCTTCGGAAGCATAATTGTGTGCATTGTAAGGTACTGTATACAGTAATATAGGTTTATAATTCAGATTATTACAATACTTGTTTTCATCTGTAGTAATGATTTATAATGTTCACGCAATGAAAGTATTGAAAGGTAAGAATGTGGAAGAGGAAAATTGTTAAAGACATTTTTTATTGATTACTTCAGTTTTCAAGATGCACACTGAAAGAAAATTAACTTGTAAGCATCATCATTAAAATGCAAGTTTGAAAGTTTACTTTCGTCCACACTTAAAATGCTGAGGTAACCATAGATAACAAATACTGTATATATGCACTATAACTTGGAGATGTTTGGAAAGATCACATTTTAAACACATATGAATTGCAAAACAAAAACACTTCTATTAAGTGCTTTGTTAGTTAAACTTGTATTTGTTAAACTATTTTTTTTTGTTCTGCATGCTGAATTCACTAATCTAGAGGTATTTTAATTAATTTCCATGGTGCTATTTGAACAACATAACCAAAAAAACATAACAGATAATTAAAATGACATTGAAAGTACAAGTAATTAATCAGAATTATTGGTAGTACCATTTCTACTTGGGGTAAACAAGTACATACAGTCCAGTATTTATCAAGTAACCACATATTTCCATAAGTAATTGTATTAAAAATTTCAGAGGAACTACTGTATGATTGAGGAAAATTTGCTTAGTTTTTTTACTGTAATACTTATAATTTTTCCTATACTGAGCATTAAAAGAAGCTTATCACTTACTGTATAACTGAACAAATTCACAAAGATTTTAATCTGGAAAATCAAAAAGGTTAATTAACATTTGTAATCAACAAAATCAATTAATAATCAACAGTCAATGTGAAACTCTGAGGCTGGTAATGTGTGTGACCACTGTTGAAAGCAGTACAAGTTATACTTCTGTGACACTTTCTTTGCAAGTCTCTTAGAGATGGACAAGCATGTGCTTGTTCACTGGTCCAGCTCAGACCACATGTTCAGTGGGACTTAATTCTGGCAAATAGAGCAACCACCGGGCAAACCATCAGGCAAATAGACATTCCCATCTCACAAGAAAGCCATTGCTATGCAATCGGCATGAAGACATGTGCTGTCCTTTTGAAATGGTGTCATGTCAGAATGGCTCCACAGGAAGGGCAGCAAGAGAGGTCTTAGGACTTGATCAATATAGCGCTAAAAGGGCAGTTTCGTATCCTTCCCAGACCCACTCTTTCTTGGCAAGGTGTCATGAAACTGAGAGCCAGGAGCGCTTCTGGGTCTTGGCATATCAGTAAGTCTTTCAACTTCATAGACGCCTGCAGACTTGTAGCAACATCAGTGAGAAATGCCCTGTTCCTTGAGTGGTGCCAGCTCTTATGTTGGGTACTGTAGAGCTTTTACTTTTTCAAAAGATGAATGGACGGATGGGTGGGAACCTGTTGCAATCTGTGTAGTTATAAAATGAAAATCCAAACTTCCAAAAAGAATGTTCCAAAACTGGAATCAAAATATATCACACTGGATTCTCTGAACAAGCAATGTTAACTTAGGAAACATCGATGTGATTTTCAGACTGCAAAATCTTCATCATTGCTTTCATTCTTCCAGGTTCTGTCTGTGCCTCACAGGAGACTTGTGTGCTGTAGTAGGCTCTTTGAAGTCACAGATGTCAATAAGGCTCAAAAGCAGGCAGCTCATCAGAGAGAAGTGTTCCTCTTCAATGACCTGCTTGTGGTAAGCTTTGATTTCATTTACATTTAATAAGCCTTAAAATTAACCCAAGCTTAGCATCGTTAAAATGTATTTCAGTAAGTGTCAGTAATTGTTTTGTGTTTGGAATTTATCACAATTTTATCACAAACTAAAGTTGGTAAGATTTAATTTATACTTTTAGGAATATTAATATTTTAATATTAATATTTAAATGTATATATGTATATGTATATTTAAGGAATATTAATAACAAATTATGTATTCCTTCATTGCTTACTGTCATTCAAGCATTTGTTCTTGAAGACAGAATATACCATACAAAACAGAATATACCATATGTTTACTCACACAATGTTTAGAACAAAATTCTTAATGTAAAACATCTGAATGAAATTAGAAAATATAAGGTACTGTATACTGTATATTGATCTGAATATACTGTAGTACTGGCTTGTATAAGGTACAATGCAATTTACAGTGCATGACAGAGTCAGTCAAAAAAACTACTCAAACTTTTATTTTAATCTTGTCTTTTTATGTCTTTATTTGTTTTTAAACACAATATGTGTTTAAAGTCACTATGTATAATATATTTTTACAAATAAAATCTAAAACAAAATGATCTGTTTTCAAATTCCTATTTATACCCAATTGCTAATAACTGTATACTGTATGTAATTAACAAATGATGTTTAGTTTTGTTATACAGTATTTTGACATACTGTATCTAATTTGTAGTTGTGATAGCAATGTTGTAACAACATCTTGTCCAACAATGTAATCTTTCTATTTAATGAAATTGTTTGTCACAAGTTCTGTATACAAACAATATTATTAGTGCAGCAAGGCGGCACTAATGGATTAATAAACATTTAATACTGTACTGATTTGTCTGGCAACCACAAACAGCTGTAGTACTTTAAGGATTCTCTACACCACCTGTAGTATTTTCAGAACTGAGCAGTCCTGCATCAGTTTTGAAAAAATAAAAAAGCCATGATGCTTCTGCTGTCTGTGATACCATGGTGCCTACAGAGGTATATCAACTGACACTTTGCACAGCTGCATGTGTTTATCACTCATTTGTAAAGAAGTTGTAGTTTAAAAGACTGATTTTAATGTTGCTATCATAGTATGCCATTTTCTACCCCAGAGAAAATTGCTGCCCTTTGGTGGTTATTGAGCACATAGTGTGTGGCACTGTTGAACTACTCATGCTTGTTAAGGAGTCTGTCCTGTTCATGTGAATCTGCCATAGTTGATTCATTCATACTTTTATGTTTTAATAACTCTTTCATTTTTTTCAGATTCTGAAGTTATGTCCAAAAAAGAAAAGCTCTGCCACCTACACATTCTGCAAAGCTATGGGCCTTCTGGGAATGCAGTTCCACCTCTTCGAGAATGAGTGTAAGCACCAGTTCTGTGTTGCTGTTTTATTCATTATATACTGTAAGGCATGAATAATAAACTGTTTTGGGAAATCGTTAGGCAATTTCATTTCCTTTAAACTTACAGAGTATCCCACTGTAATATAATAGACAATAAGGCTAATAGATAATAAAACCAATTAATAAGATTTTTTTTTCCTGAGGACATGAATGTTATAACTGTTTTACCCCCAGATTATAATTGAGAGACAGCAGAATATATGATTTCGGTATGCTCTTTTCTGTTTTAATTTGTATGCACGTGCTTTGGTTTTTCTGTGGGTAGTTTGTACATTATTATATTAGGAAGGGCTGCAAACAGGAATACTGTAGGTTTATCTTACATAAACTTAAAAAAAAACTTAGTGTATGTTTCTTACATACTGTCAAAATATTCTTTCCCATTTTTATACACTCCGATCTATATTTTCTATATTATCTTACATTAAAAAAATATTTTAAAGTGCTATTGATAGTCGAATTAAAACCAGTTTAAAAAAGACAGATCCCTCAGTATGTTCATCTTGTTGAGGTCCAATCCAACCAATATAATATAACAGGCTCATTGTGTATATGAATCATGTTATGTAATATGAGAAATATGTAAAATCGAAAACATACATTTATTTCATTTCATTTCTTTGTTCATAAAGATGGCATATGCTGCATGTTATCATTATATACAGTATCTCCGAATTACATTACTAACACACTACAGTGTTATTCAAGTAAGCATTTCAGGTGGGTAGCTGCGTCACACCTGAAGAGGACTACATGGCCGAATCGTTGTGTTTTCTTTCTTCCTTTTTTTCAGCATGGAATAAACCTATTACTTGTTCCTTCAAGTAAGCATGTTCCAAAACAAAGGAACATTAAAGATATAGTAAGATTACATTTTTATATGACTTTGGTCCTTTCACTTGCATTTTCTAAGGTGATCTTTTGATTACTAGTTCAAATTTCTAGTGGTAAAAATTAATTCTCATCATTGTTGACTCTTCATACAATTCTAAATTCTACATTAACTCATTACTGCAACTAAGCTCAAATATGTAGTCTACTTGTAAATTACTAAATCATATCTCGCAGCATTAGATTCAAAGTGGTACGGCATAACAATGCAAGAAGAATGTCTAATGTAATACTTTGTTTCATTAATGCAGACTACCACATGACTATGGAATGTTTCTTATTTGTTTCATTATTAAGATGTCACAGTTAAAGTTTCTAAAAGCCCATGGTAGCTATAGACCTACTTTACCTGTAATTCAAATAAAAAGACACTAAAAATCATGTAAGTTAAACACTGTTGTTAAATTTCCTAACAAAACGTAGAGATACTGTATAAAGTACAGTACATTTAAAAATATGGAGTGAATTATACTTTTGTTTATTTTGTACCTTGAAAGAAACCTTGCCTTACACATGTAAATGGCACATTGACATTCGATCATGACCTTATTCAAATCAATTCATTGTATACCTAATTTACAAAATCCAAAGCAACTGTGTAATTACAGGATTGGTCCCAACATCATCACTAATTATATACTAATTAGTATATAACTTACACCAAAATCCTCTAAGCACTATACTTCTACAGATGTAGAAATCAATACACAATCACTTGATCTCACAAAATGAATATAAATCAAACATTCCTCATACAAAAAGTGAAAAGGTGCAATTTTAATTGAAATCTAAAAAGTGCAAGAGAATTAGTGTTGTGAATTTTCAGAGGTACAGAGTCCCTTTACCGAGGAGCATAGGAGGTGAATGCATGATTACCAATTGAGCTCTGGTTCTTGAAAATGCCAAAGAATTAGTAAGTGATAAGTACTGTAAGAGTCAAAGCTGCTTTAACTATCCCAGAAATAGGCTGTATTTTACAAATCGTAAAAGGATGATTTGCCACAGGTATTTATTGAAACTTCAGAAAGAGTGAATCCAAAATGACAGGACAGCTACTAACCAAAGGAGAAGATAAATCTATAAAATGTAATATAAGATTACTGCAACCAGATTCAGTTGTATTAGTACTTAGTAGATGAAGGTTAGAAAGAAGCCTGACACTTTCAAAACAAAGACACTATCATTGCAACATAAATAACAGGTCCTTTGTAGTAAATAGTAGGCATTTGTGTTATACAGTACTAACAATATTCTGTGATAAAAAGTAAATGAAGGAAAACACTATCAAGCATTGTATGGAATTTTTGGACTAAAGCAGCTTATAGGACTCATCTAATTTTTTCCGGACTTGTGTGTAAGCCAACTGAACATACCAACAGCAGGTACAGTAACTTCTTGCCAGTTGTCTAGACTGCACACTTCACTACATGGCCGGATGCATTGTACTTTATATAAGCAGAATGTAGACATTATGAGGTCCCAAGTCACTCATTTTAAATAAATGGCCACAAAAACAAATCTAGAGGTCAGTTTTGTGTTTACTTTTATTTTAAATGAATACAAATTGTGACAATAACTAGCCTCGAAGGACTTTTATCCAGAGCTAACAGAGACTGAATTAAAAATTGTGGAAGTGCAGTTTATGGTTAAGTCCCATTTGTCTTGCGATTTACTCAAGTGTAATTACATTAAATCCTGCAGTTTGTTCCCAAGAAAAGATTTATAGACTGGTCTAAGTGGTTGTTACATCATTGAACAGACTCCTCACACAAACTATGTTCAGTTGTTAAAAAAAGGAATAAAAATGAAACCCCTTGGTAGTATTGGACATTGTCTAACAAAGTACAGTACATGTATTTGTATGTTTGTTTTGAATTACAAAAGTAATGAAGGGTTATTCTAAGCCTGTACTGTATGTTCTGCAGTTATTCTTGTAATTTACTGTATTTAAGGGGTAAAAAAAACTTACTGCTTTGATTTTAATGCTTTTAGTTGTTTTTATACGTAAAGCTTTTTGGTTAAACTTCTAAAGTGTTACAGCCCTATAATGTCTTTCAATCACTTTAAATTAATCTTACACTGAAAAAATTAGATGCACAGTACACATAAAGACTCCTAACTACAAGTACTGTGAGTAATACTAAGAGTGTCATTGGTATACAAGCAGAAGATGAAGACTGGACAAATACTGTATAATAACAGAGGTGTTTTTTTTCCTTATAGGACAAAATATACATAGTAGAGTACATTTTCTAAACATTTTATCCCATACAAGGCCACAAGGTGGGAAATACCCTGGGCAGTTCATCACAGGGCAGAAACAAAAGAACACAAACACACTCACATAAGGGCCAGTTTTCCTAGAAATCCATTAACCTACAGTATCTGTGTGTCTTTGGATTATAGGAGGAAATGGGGAAACACCCATGTCAACATAGAAACTCCAGGAATTTAACTTAGGGCCCCAGCACTGTATGGCAACAATGCCCAGCAATGCTAATCACTGAACTACCATGTCACCTGCTATTAGAGGCTTTTTCCAGAAAAATGTTTCACTGCATGTCTATTTTCCATATTTTCACCATTCACTCCATCTTAATACTATTTTCAGAATATTTAGAGTTTTACATTTTGTTACTGTACCTTTATGAATTGGTTATTAATTTTTTCAAATTAAAGTTACATTTTGTTTTGCAAACAAAGAATTAATAGTAAAAATTGCACTTAAGGTTAATTAACTGAACAGAAATGAACTGTTCCCCTTTTATATGTTCAACAGTCAGAGTTTGAGGGATTTCCATTGTGATTCATAATGTTCATACTGTAATGAATTTGATATGTTTCTTTGGTTTAGTGGTAAAACTCTTGCCTGCCACCTGAATGTTCTAGGGCTCAATGCCTGGCTAATACCAATGCAAGTTGTACTTCTAACAAATAGAAGACTCTTTCTTTGAAAATATAATATGTATACTACAGATTTAATAATGTTACATATCATAGTATGTTAAATTAATATTAAAATATTAAGTAGGGGATTTTCACAAAGCAAAATTACTGAGCCAGATATATATTAAAACATGGTTTCTTGTTTTATAGGTTGTTTGTTTGTTTATTATTGATTTGTTGGCTGTTGTGAATGCAATATTTTTTTCATGTTTACATATGCACTACATCTATACTTGTCTTACAGATAATTTAAATCAAAAGTAATTAGGAAACAGATCATGCTTATTTTAGATTTTGATTATAAAAAATATATTATACACATACTGTAATGGCTTTAAAACCATACAGTACCTGTATCATACTGTTTTAAGAGCAAATAGAAATAGTACAATGAAAAATGAAAATAGTCTGATTTGTCTGTGCCTCTGTAGTGGAGCGGGAAAAAATAGTTGCTTTATCTCGGGAACCAAAACAGCACAAACACTACTTTCTAACAGCTCTAGCGGAGTACATTGTTAATACTGAGTAAAATAAAGTTCTTAACGTAAACATTTTCTATAGTTATTTATTATTTCCTGCATCAGTTTTGAATAATTTTAGCCCATTCTTCTTTTTAAAACTGCTTGTTGATTCATTTCCTGTAAATTAAGGCCAATTCTCACGTCCCAATTCTCGCACTGTGCACTAAGCCCTTCCTCCAAGTCTGCAACTCTGTGATGAAGTGCAAGTGTGGACTTCAAGTGTGCGAGTATTCGAGGGTGGATTGTTATAAACAGGGTAATGGGACACCCCTCGCTGATGACACTTGCTGCTTACATGGCTCAGGGTCAAAATACTGTCCATTGTTGATGCTTCTTTTCAGTCTCTGCTTGCAGTTTGATTAAATTGAATTTCATCTCATCTGTCTGTGCACAAAAGTACTGACACATCATGTTGAGCAGGCTTAACTCAAAACAGGCAAAGTAAACTAAAGAATCTTTTACAATATTGTTTATTAATGTAAAAAAATCCTTACACTTATGTAATGCTTTTATGGGCTATCAGTAGGGAGGACAACAGAGTGATGAAGCCAATTCATAGATGGGGATAATTAGGAGGCCATGATTGGCAAAGGGTAGTGGGAAATTTGGCCAGGACACCAGGGTCACATCCCTACTCTTTTCAAGAAATGCACTGGGATTTTTAAGGACCACAATTTGATGTCTCATCCAAGGGACAGTGCCATTTTACAGCATAGTGTCCCCATCAGTATAGGTTTACCCAGGAGGTCTACCATTCAGGTACTGACCAGGCTCACACCTGCTTCACTTCAGTGGGTTGCCAGTTATGAGTTGCAGGTTAATATGGCTGCTGGTTATTTAGTAGTAATTTATTCAGAGTTACTACTAAATGCATTTCATAATGTCTGTCACAGTACAAAAATGACAGTACAAGGAACTTAACATTTAGGAAAGTTTAGGAAATTTAGAAATGCAACACCCTAAGCTGTAGCAGACTTCAACAGGAATGTTGTATATGAAGTATATGAAGGGCGCAAGACTGCAAGTGTGCATATTGGGACAGGGCCTAACTTGCTTTAGTGAGGGTCTCCCAGAAGCAATGTTCAGCATGATAAATTAAATTTAAAAAACCTGTTGATAAATTTGACCAATTACCTTTTAGTTGAGTAACAATGGCTAACCTAATCCACACATGGATTTATGAGAGATGGCTGGAAAAAGTTTGACATTAATGCTTGGTAATCTTTGGTTCTTAACAACAAATGATTCGGACAAGAAAGAGAGTGCATGAGACAGCCCTTTGTTAGATGAGAAACTTTAAACAGAAAAAGGTGCTACTGTATGTGAGGAAAGTGCTTTAACAACTTTAGTGAAGCTAAATACAATAATTATATCAATAACAAATAAGATAAAAGGGGGAAAAACATATATATAAACATTTTACATTTTAAATTTCATAATTTAAAAGTAAGGGAACATTTCTGAAAAGCACAAATCTTGTACTGGTCGGAATTAAACCCACACCCTGTTATATAAAAAGTCAGGAATTGTATCCCTGAGCTACCACTAAATAATGGATTTCTAGTGAAAGTTTGTGAGGGACGAAGGCAGCCGAATTATGCTTACTTGGCACAATTTGCACCTAATCCCAATGTAATTGCCTCACTTCGCATATATACCACATGTCATCCTCTCCTTTTACCACATGTCATCCTCTCCTCTTCCTTGCTCATTTTCAAATCCTTCCTCCATTCCGTCTCCACCTTGGTCGCCTTTTCACTAAGCATGGGGATCCTAGCCTCCCCATCCTATTGACAGGAAATTGACTCTTAGCCAAGTGGGACAAACCAAAGTTTTCACTAAATTCAATAAACAATTCTACCCTCACACAAACTTCGGCTGCTTTCTTCTATCACAGATTGTATATTTAGCATTAAAATAAAATATAAGTTCATCGTCTCCCTCACAAAGCAAACAAAGTGTGTATTGTACCATTTTATGACTGGTTTGACATGTTTTCCACTAAATGTATGATAGAACTGGTCTCATTCTTTAGCGCTCCATACTATTAGTCAACTTAATACATACCTGTACACTTGTAGTAATCCACGTTCCTGGTATTTTTCCATGTTTTCATTTATAATATTTTCTAAAGTTCCCTTTTCCATTTAGTTATAGAGACTAACCAATGTATGCTGCAGATGGTACAGTAAAGTATCTCGAATAATGGGATTGTTTGTGCGATTAAAGGTGGTCCAACTCCTCTTTTATTCTGAGACTGTATAAAATGGAACAGGAAGTATTTCCTTCATAGCATATACTGTAGTTTTAAACCCTCTGCCATGTGAATGGAATATGTGAAAATTAACTCCAGTATGATATAATATGTATATAATACAATCATATAATTATTTTATAACATTTTCTAGAATACCATAGTAGGCCCCTCTCTTCCGTGCATTTTTCTGTCACTTAGTTAAATCACATGTGGGTTATGCCAAAGCTTTGTATGACTACTGTAACTTCTCAATAAATATTCCTAAAAGTTTTTTTTTCTTACTAAGTGTTGTTATATCTTCTGAAATGTACTTTCAGATCTTTACACATTGTTCAGCAATGTATTGTTCCACATCTACACATGAAACCTGTTATATATGTACAGTATATATATATTGTATATATATAGTTATATATATATAGGCTTTTGTCATTTTCAGCCTTTGCACACTTTTTAATTGCATTATACCATCCTGTCCAATTCTCCCTAAATTCGGTCAAAGCATCACATCAATCAACCCTATTCTTATCTGTCTTTTTTTAACTTAGACTACCCCCATGGGATCACTATCGTGTCTCCTTACTCTGGGTCAGAGAAGAAACAGGTGCTGAATTTCTGTGCCCAGAGTGCAGAAGAGCTGCTTAAATTTGTGGAAGACCTGAAGGAGTCAATTGCTGAGGTGACTGAGATGGAGCAGATCCGCATTGAATGTGAGTTCCCTTCTCTGTGTTGTTTGGTGCCTATAGAAATGAAACATGTGATGTGTGAATCTTACCACACCAATGCCCCCATCACTCTACTGGGGCATTAGGACCCACATAGACCACAGGGTGAGCACTCCCTACTGGAAAGGAACAAGTAATAGATTTATTCCATGCTGAAAAAAAGAAGAAAGAGAACACAACGTTTCGGCTGTGGAGCCTTCTTCAGGCTCCACGGACGAAAAGTTGTGTTCTCTTTCTTCTTTTTTTCAGCATGGAATAAACCTATTACTTGTTCCTTTGCAGCTACCCATCTGAACTACTCCCTACTGGTCCCACTAATACCACTTCTAGCAGCAACCGTAGTTTTTCCCAGGACTGCTCCCAACCAGGTACTGACTAGGCTCACACCTGCTTAGCTTGCGTGGGTTGCCAGTCGTGAGCTGCAAGGTGATATGGCTGCTGGCTGTCCTGTTTATTCCACACATAAAGTTGATGATAATGTCCAGCAAAACATTGTACTGATTACCTTTCAGATGCCCCTTTTTGTGGTTTGCTGTCAGAAAAAGGTTGCTGATTTGCAATGCAACCATGAATGCCACATTCACATAGGTAACATTGAATGGTAGTTTTTGATACTTTGTGTCCTGAAGTTGGCAGTTTAATTTGGAGATCTCTGCTGTCTATGGATTTATGGTTGATTGCCACAGTTGCAAGTCTTCTTCCTGGTAGGATTGCCACTATACTGTATACATAAGCCTAAGCCTACTTTTACAGGATCCAACTGTGGAATAGGATTTAGATTTCTGTTCCTTTATAACCATACTCCAACTTGCAAAGGGTAATGAGCCTTAATTGCATTCTTTGGAGAGCTTTTTGATTTTAACCTTGATGGTACAGTACATGCTACTACTGAATGTCTTAGGGAAAAGCACTAAAGGATATTTAGAAGTGTAACACTTCTTTTAAGTCAGATTAAGACATCTCTTTCAAATAGGAAATAGGAACTCATTTTGTCCCTATTTCATTGAGGGGTATTAATAAATATGTATAGCACTGTACAGTATATGTAGATTCATTTGTGCATTACAAACTTTATTCCAGAAAATCACACTCCAGAGGTTTTAGTCAATGGGCAGAAACCTAGGAGCTAATACTACCAATATTAATAAAGCATACTAGTGTCATGCCAGGCCCAACAAGGTGTTGAAACAGGCTCAGCAAAAATTAGAGTCAATGAGCCAAGATATGCGGCAATCGAGATAATTTACACAATGACAGCACTGATGAGGACAAACAGCTGATGCAGCAGGTGTGCAGCTGAAGCAGGCAGAGCAGAGGCTGAGGTCTGAGGTGATGAAGAGATGATTAGTGGCAATGATGACTGAGGGATTGAGGATTGAGGATTGAGGATTGAGGATTGAGGATTGAGGATTGAGGATTGAGGATTGA